GCTATAGGCCAACTAACCCCCAATAATCCATAGATCATTGTCCATAATTTGTGCGGCCAATGGGCACCAAAGCATAATATGGTTACAAGATTCTACCTCTCTTTTGCATAGAAAACAGCAGTTCACCAAAAAATTTTCCCTCCTCATCATTTTGTCAATTGTCAAAATACACTCATGCCCCGCCTCCCATTTAGAGAAGCATTCACCTTCCATATTACTGAAACGGGAACTTGGGATCTACTACCTCGTTCTTATTAACCAAGTAATTATGATATGATTTAACTGTGAAGAAACCATTATTCTTGAGATTCCACAATCATTATTCATTGTCCTCATTAGTTCTGACCGTGGAGAGTATGTTTAGTAAATACTCGTACTCATTCACCTCCTGACCATTTAGATTCCTCACTATGTTCACCATCCACACTCTATGCCCTCCATTATCTCTATACTCATTAACCAAGTTTTGTATGAAGTCTTCTTATTTTATGTCTCCTTATTATGCTTCTTTTATTTATTTATTAATTATCTTTTGGATAGACCTAACTAAGCTTCTTATAAGCTACATTACAAAATAACTAGAGCAACACCAGAAAAACACAAAGGGAGTACAAAAGAAAAATAGAGCCACATAAATACCCAAGGCTATACAGATAATAGCTTTCTGGTGATTATTTCTTTTAGGATGAAAAATAGCTATAATCAGATCTGGAAGAAGGTACATAGGACATCCTGCTTGTCTGAAATATTATACAGTAAAGTGCAACAAAAAATTCAAATAATAAAGGAAAAACTACCATGTACTCAGCTGAAGATCCCTTTACATGCAAAATTAAAAGATCAAAGTAAGAGAAAAAAAACTCAATTAAAATGGTGAAAAAAATTGCTGACATCAAAATTTTCATGTACCCCTTGTTATACATATTAACAAGCTTCATCCAAATATTTTCTGTCAATCGCTATAGCCATGTTCTTAAAAAATATGCAGGCAGCCCTTGGTTAATGAATCATCAAATATGGCACAAGAAGTTCAAAGAAAACAAACGACAATAGACCAGGTTAGCAACTAGCCATAGAGTCTTGTAATCATTACTCATATTAAACCACTCACTTTTGAAGCCTTTTATTCAAGAAACATATATGGAATTAATTAATTTAGTTGGGTTCATGAATTTCACCTTTGGAGTCTTTTCCGGAGCATATAACGTAAATATGCATCTGTTCCAAAAGGGCTAACTCCCATATATTTGCACATACTTATAAGTCGAGGCCTGGTAAAATAATATAAAGAGTAAAAACCTCTTTCCCACAAATTTCGCTAAGTATTAACCATATATTGAAGTAAAGCAACCTGCTAATGTTATCTAGAGTAAGCTCATCATTGAATAGCTTAGCAAATCCCAAAATTTCCTCATTGGATACACCAGCACCTGTTCTAACCTGTAAAATAACAAACCGTACAAAAAGAAATAATAGAACAATAAAGAAATTTATGAAATTAAATTGGCTAAGCAGAAAGAAGAAAATTTATGGGACATAATCAACCATGAACGAATTCTTACCCTGCTCAAAAACTTATCAAGATCCTCAGCAGTTTTTTTCAGTTCTCCACTCCTTGAGTTTTTAACTTCTTTCGCCATTTCTTTGACTGTGTTCTGGAGAAACTTGGCATATTCAATTCTTGCATATAACTTCCTTTTCAGTGCTTCCTGCATATTCACCAAACTAAGTGAGACCAGTTATTCTGCTTATGAACAGGGCCCTGCAAAAACCAAATTTATGTGCATGCATGTAAAAGTTGCATGCTACCACAGGCACAGATATCAATGTGTCAATACAGGCATACAATAAAAAGCTCATCCTACCAAGCAGAAGCAAGGTTTTGTGCATAAAGATCTAGATTCTCCAATGCAAAAGAGAGTGAAACAATAAACTCATCCACATGCAACTACAAATTAAAGAGAAGGATGGATGAGAAAAGATATTAAGTTTGTCTCTCTCTAGTAAACCCCAACTTTCAGTAATAAAGAAAATTATAGAAAGGATCCTTATAATCTTCCAATTATCGCAACCTAAAGGACACAATGAAGGAGGATTTAGGTAGAATCTTTACTTATACAAAGGGTAACTTTTTGGTCCAGAGACCAAGGTACAACTAAGAAATGCAACAATAGAAACTGAAAACCTGGACTATGAGTTGAGGAACATTACAACAAACTGTCCTAGCATTTAAAACATGCCAAAAAATTGCAAGAATATCTCAAAATCAGTCTCTTGAAGAACATAACTATTTTTGGCAGAAAATTATGCTAAAATACTTGGTAAATAAAGAGAGATTTTTTTTGAAAGAAATAAACAAATGAAGATTAATTATAATAGCTTATATTCTCAAAGAAGAATGGATACATGTTTCATAATAGGGTCAAATATCTGAAAACATTTTTCAGGTATATGCTAAGGGGTCAAAAAAGCTTGGAGTTTCAAACAATATTATCCGTTAACGAATAAAATCATACTGCCTAAAAAAACAGAATTATTACACAGGAGGGGAGATGTAAAGCAAACAAGACAGAAGATAACAGTAGACACAAAGCTACTAACAAAGGTTCCACTATACCTCTTCTTTCATTTTGTCTTGAAAAGTTGATGGCAGCATATTAGGAAATAATTTCAAGAACACCGGCAGCAAGAATTCCATAAATGGCACTATGATGAAAACTGCAAAAGGAACTAGCCTAAATATATCAGCTGTTGTTCGAGTTAGTTGTTGCCTTTCCCTTCGGGAGAGACTCTTCCCACCAGCAAGTTTTAACAGCAATCTTGAACTAATCCTCACATCTGCCCAAAGTAGCTTAAAGCCCAGCCAATAATGCTGCAATGTTGAAATGATTTCATGTTTCCAGTGAGCAAGTTTCTTTTCCCAGTCCTCCCTGCAAGAAAAGTACAAAGCTAGATAATAAACAAAGTACATCCCAATCCCAAAACATGCCAATGTTAAAACAGAATTGTGGGAGCTAAAGCTTCACCTGCTCATGGAAGCTACAACTCTTAAAGCTGGTCCTATCCCCATAACCTTTGACCACACCCCTTCTAAGATGGATCTGGCAATCTTTTCAGATTCTTGCAAACGTTTGGCCCTCGCTTTGGCTTTTGCAGTATTCAAACCCTCGATTGCCCGATCACATTCTTCAGGGGATGCTTCCTTTTTCTTTTTGGCAACCATTCCCTCATCATCCTCACCATCAAATTCAGGTTGCTTTGCAGTAGCTGTGGAAACACTACGAATGGACAGTGACATCAAACTTTGACTCATTGGAGATATGAATTCTAATCTTCCATATCGAAGGCCCAGAAATGGAATGCTATGGAATCTACTGTTAGTATATCCAAAGCTTGACAATACCAGAAATTCCTCCCTTCCTAAAGTCCGTCTTCCCAATTCCCTTACACAATTAGAATTTACAGAGGGATGATTAGTAATGGACTTATAACCTTGAGAATCCTGATCCCGTGCAGCATTTCCAATGCATTGGAAGCTTTGAATTGAACGTGTGGAGGCATTCAGGTAATCCGAAATAAACCTCCTCCTTCTCAAGATTGCTCTAGAAGCCATTTTTAAACGTTTCTTGATCTATGAAGAGAAGCATGTGTTTCACAGGACAACTCTGTTATGCTGGTCTGAAAACACATCCAAACAATTCGATCAAGACCGTACCAAGAAAGAAGAAGTGAAAGTTGATAACAGGTAGAACAAACAAAAAAGCAACATATACTGTAACACCACGATTTTGAAGAACACAAGCAAGATGCGGAGATTTTGATTACGCCACAACCGACATAGTAAACTTAACAAGAAATAATGAATCAAACGTCAAAACCAGACAAATAAATCATATATATCAAATCATCTAGTCTCTTTTCTGCTTTTCCAATTAAGAAAAAAAAATTATAAATGTTCAAGAAGGCTGAAATTCGAGCCAAAGAGAAGAAGACTGCCTTCAGCTAGACTAGAAATAAACCTAATGAAGAAGTTGTTATTTTCAATTTATTAACGAGAAATTAGATATCTATGCACTTACATGTAAATACTCTGCACAAACTGAACAAGAGAAGAAATGTAGAGACTGGTTTTGGTTTTGGGCAGACGAGACGAATAAAGAGGGGTTTTAGGAGGGGGCAAAGAAATTTTATGGTATAACGCAGGAGCATGGATGTATTAATTTTGAACCGTCCGACGTTGATCTATCTGCAACGTGGAACGGCGTCGTAGAGGTGGGGGAGTTGGGAAGTTGTACATATGGTTGTTGAATTTGCACCTAGCTTGATACGTGGCATGTGATCATTGGCCAGTCTCATGGCTCACAGATAGAATGCTCGCAGCGAATTCTTGATTCTCAGGACAGTAAGAAAAATTGCAATTTGGTTCATACAGATTGCTAATCCGACCATAATCTTATTTCATTATTTTTATTCTCTCACGTCTCTTAAATATATATATATATACATATTAGGAAATGTCAAAAGCGAACAAGACATAAATGCAAAAGAAAAATATATTATTTTAAAATTATTTCTGTTAATTAATATTTATATATTTTAACGGTGATAACTAAAATACTACAGCAAATTTAGTCTTTAAAATATAGCATATCATCGAACTTAATCTCAAAAATTTTCTATTATAAATTAATTATGAAAATATGCATTTATTTTGAATATATTTACCCCATTAAAATTGAAAAAAAAAAGTGAAAAATTCTAGTCTTATTTGAGAAAAAAAAATGTCATGGTTTAGAGTAGAAAATGAGGATAAATTAAAATTAGGTAAACATCAAAACCATAATTATTAATCTTCTTCAATCTCCTTCATAATCAAAATTAAGTAAAAAAACAGATGAATGTTCCTTTTATATTTAACTTTTTATTCTTGAAAAAAGAAATACGGTATTTCTAATTAAGTTGGGTAAAAATATTTTTATATATCAAGTTATTTTCTTTATTAATAAATACATTATCATTAAACTTGCTTAAAATCTAATTCCGTGCTACAATACCAGTGTCTTAAGATTAATCCACTACTAGACGATCATTAATTTATATGCTATGTCCATGGTTCGCTCTATTTGATGATAATTTTTATTATGAATACCTTAAGTTTTATGCCGATGGTCTTCTTTTTCGGTGCATTAATATTTTATATCTAATATTTTAACTGTTGTAATAAAAGAATTATTTATATGCATCCAAGTAGATTTACTGTGGTTTGGAGGGTGAAAGTTAGAGTACTTACGAACTTTGTGTGGGCTTGACTTGGGGAAAAAAAGATTTACAGTGATGAGCTACCTACGTGAGTAATACTTTTTTTTTTTCGACAATTTATTTTGATACTTATTTAAGTAACATTCCTTTTTTTTTTTTTTCAATTTCAAACACTTGTGTGATAATAATTTATTTTCTAGTTGTAAAAAAAAGGCACTTCTCTGCACTTACAGATTCGCTATATATGATAGAGCAGTAACAATTCAAGAAAAAAATGACTTAACTGGCATGTTCCCTCTATTGGGATCTCAATTAGCTCGGGTTCAACCTTTAATTTTCAAATTATTTTATATACAAGTTATTATACGCTAAAAATTAATACATCTTCTTTTAAATTTTATTAGAAAAATATAATGTACGTTACAGTAGTAATAGGAAACACTTTAAACGTGAACAAACCCAGCTGAATGACAAAATAGCTCCATGAGAAAAAACATAATGAGTCAATACAAGGGTTGCACATTGGGTTATCAATTTTTGATTAAGTGATGAACATAGTCCCATTGCAACAGTATTTCATTATTTTCCTATGTGCTAATAGATGATCTAAGAGATATAGCACTTTTAACACATTATACAAGAACAAGTAACTATTACAGTTCATTTGGAGAAGAAAGAACAAGGGCAAAATTCTTCATTTTTATCTTTGAGGTAGTTATGTGCTTGAAGATTCATTCTTATTGGAATCGAGATTTATGAAATGTACTTGAAGCTCCAAAACTGTTGAGGCAGAAAATCCCTACACTTTATCCATCGTCCTTTCCTGAAGTAACCCCGCCTCCTCTATTTCCTGCAAGCCACCCCATGACTTTTTATTACAAAAGGTTTTGGAATAAGTTAACTAGGTTAGATGCAGTTATGTCCAGTGACAAATCAACTTTTTATCCTCTGCTCATAAGTTTTCTTGGACTCTTAAGTCTTACCAAGCTCTAATTGGAAACACTTTATGCTATATCCTCAAAGGTTTGATATGTTAATTTCAATTTTTTTTTTCCGTAAGTAGAAGTTTTTTACAATGAGAGTTCACACACAGACTAAAATGACCAATTTTCCTTCCATCCGTCCGGACATGTTCATCAGATTGCTTCTGGTGTTCCAGTTAACATTATTTGACAAGACTGTTTCTTGCATACTATAGACAAACTTTCACCATAATCTCATTACCGACTGCATGATTGTCAGAACTGCTGAGGGAAACCAAGTTCCCACATGAAGTTCCATTCTTGTTTAATACATCCAAGTGGATGAAATTCCCAGCAGCTATTGTTCATATTAACTGGATGCTTTTACATTCCTAGAATAACTGTTTGTTTTCAGTCGCAAGAGACTTCATTTATTGCAGAAAACCTAGGTAGCTTGCATTTTTCATTAATCTTCCCAAGCATTTGACTTGGGTATGTATAAGATCTGTGAACAATAATTTACATGCACTCATTTATTTATAAAATTTAACAACAAATCTGCTAACAGAAACATACCAAGGAAGCTTGAAGGTGTCTTTCCACCATCCTTGTTTTGAGCAATTAGCAACTATCCTGTCCAATCGTACAATGATCTCAGAGAAAGTTGGTCTAGCAACAGATTCTGGAGCCCAACATTCCTCAATCAACCTGCATATATAAAAAAAAGGTAAAAGAAAATAGTGGAAATTAAATTTCTTGTTGCTCTCTAAAAGAAATGAATGCTTCAGCATTATAAATCATCAGTTTATTCATTTACAGACTGAAAACAACAATATTAAGTAATACCTAGTGACCAGTCATGTTATTCCACTGTATATTTACAACTATTAATAAGAATAATAAAGAGTCATGAGAAGAATGTTCCAATCAATCCTCATCAAAGCTAAAAACCTAAAATGATATAAATCCTCACTTATCATAAATGATATTGTTACAAATTTAACTATCTTTTGCTGAGTCAAGAAAAGAAACATATTACTTAACTAGAGATGAAAGGGGGACATCCGAGCTTCGAGAGCCAGCTGATAAATCTATTATTTTGCTAAAAATTAAACTCACTCTTTCATTTCTGGAGGATAACTCCTTGACTTGGACTTGAATGCCGGTCTCTTTCCTTCTAAACACATCATTCTTGTAGTCTCTTCAGCGGTCTTGGGATGGAAAGGTTGAACTCCCTCCATCATCTGTGCCCATTTCGAAAATATTCAAGATGCAAGTAGTTAAAGCTTGGATTTTTTGAATGTAGACTGAAATATCATTGATATGGAAGTAGCAAGAATTCCCAGTAAGCAGAGGCAGATTTTGATGAGGATTTTTATTTTTAAAGAATATTACATTTCCCAAATGACATTATTAACTCCTTCAGAGCAGAACAAATATTTCTTTCTCACACCCAAAGACAAAATAAGTGCATGCATATGAAGGAAGAAAATAAGTCATTACTGTTTATTAAATGATGTTGGCCATACATAAGTTCATTTAAAAAGGCATAAAGCATCACAAAATGCATCCAATTATTTTAACTGTATATACCTGATCATCAGTAGAGTAACAAGTTTTCAAGAAAATAAAGGTACCTCATATATAATCACACCAAAAGAATGTGAATCCACGCTCCTATCAAATATTTCCTCATTGTAAATCTCAGGCGCCGCATAATAGTCTACAGTTAAGAAAGCAGATTATTGATCTTCTCAAAGAAGCAGAATATTAAGGAACAAAAATTAAAAATTTGCATGCTAATTATCAGTATTGGCTTCTTTCAGGTCATTAAACATAAACAGCCAGGTTTTACTTCTTAGCAACATACATCCTACTCATAGATGCATCAGAAACAAAAAGTTGGACCATATGATGTACGACAAATAAGAGAGAATTTGCGTATTTGAGGATAAAAACCTAAATACTACAGCTAGAATTTCTTATATATCACATATATGAGGTATTAAAATCACACTTGAAATGTTGATTGCATTACACAACCATGAGAAACTCTCAAAATATTTTATTGAATAAATGAAGTTTTTTTCAATAGCAACATTATAAAGATATTTCATAATTACTCTGAAGTAATTTTTTCCAAATAAGACTAGACAAAGAAATACTAATACTAGAAACATTAGGAAATACTAATACTAACACAGTAAAAAAACTAAAAATATAAAGAATAAAATCCTAGTTACTAAAACTACAATAATAGAGTTCTAAATAGTAAAACAATTTCATATCTAATAGAATTATAATTTTGAATCTATTTAAGTAATCTAGATCTAACTTATGTTGTATGACCATAACTTCAATGCAGCACACTAAATCAGATAAATATTACAGGTGCTACCATTGAAAATATCCAATGAATGTAAATGTGTAAAATATGAGTAAATTGTTTTGGTTATTAACATCAAATGAGAAAGATAACTAAAATCAAAACTGGTCAATAAAAATGAAAAAAGAAAAGAATATTCATTTAGACACTTCAGTGTTTTACTAAGGTAGCAAATTAAGATAGCATTAATAATTGATCTTCTGGTCCTTCTTGTAGTTTAGTATCCGTCCAGTATGTTTCCAATTTAAAGAAGCATATGGGATGAGACTAATACATAAGTTCTGTTTCAATAAAGAAAGTCCAACAAAGTTTAGTCCTTGTTCTTTTTCTAACCATCAAATGCTACTTTAGAGTATATATTATGAGTCATGTTTCAGAAAAGAACAATCAGAACAGCAAAGACTACTCTGCGTTCATAAACTTACTTGCAAGGTCTATATGTGTCCTTGGCTGCACTATTTTTGCTTTGTCAGGTGAAATTTTTGACAACCTTATCAAACCAAATCCAGCTACCTTCAACTGACCTCCACTATCCAGCAAAATATTTCTGGCACCTTATGAAAATTTCAAATATTAAAGAATAGGACATCCTAATGAGTACAAAAAAATTTAATTTAGGATTCAACACACATCTGATCAACTTTTGCATTTGGTTGTCTTACTTTGGCTTTAGATCACAGTGGATGATGGGATCTGGTTTACATTCATGCAGATAATTCATTCCCCTGATAACAAGAAATTGGAGAAGAAGTCATAAAATGAACAAACTGGAAATGAATTACTAAAGTGATGAATCTACAAGAACTTTCTATGAATTCTCATGCTCAAAGCTCCTTTGGGAAATATGCACGTGAGAATGCAATTGAGATGAAAGTTTTAGAATGCATTCCTAGAAAAACTTCACATGCCTTGCAATATCAAGAGCAAATCTTAGAGCTTTAGATGGAGAAAGACGCCCTTTCTTTTGAAGATAGCTACCTAAATCACCCTGAAATTTACCGACAAAGTGGCAATGTTAATACTGCAATCAAACGACAACATCCATATCAAGTGAGTGCAGTATTCCTGGTCATTCATCCACATAAAGTAAAGTGACACAAGAAGAAATTATCCAAAAAGAATGATGTGATAAAAGAAAGAAATTATACAAAAAGAAATAAGCAGTGTATTCAACAATTTTTAAATTCCCTTTGCAGTAAGTAAGACAGAAACTCTGAAATACCAGAACCTCCATTCTAGAAGGCTTGAAACATCAAACTAAAGGTAGCATGAATAAGAGATCCAGAACGGTTAAGATTTATTCGAGTTTATTTGTGCCACTTCATGTAACAGAAATCTGATTGCCGAAGTGATGTTGGATAAAGAGAACTAGAACATAATACTTAAAGAAAATATATTAAGAGACAAGACTATATATCTCGAATCTCAATAAGTAAGGTATGGTACCTTATTAATAGATAATATATTATAATTAAAATAAAAGATTTTAAGTCTATCTCAAAATTCTACTGACTAGGAAAACAAGCAGATTAATTGGAATAACCTATGATATATTATAACTGGATAAGATCTTAACTAAAACAAAAATAATAAATTCATACTAATTAGCTTATAGTTAATAGGTCCTAATAAGCTAAATATCATAATAATACATAAACACTAAAATGGCATAAATATCTATTATCATTGAAATATATACAATTTAAGGTCTTCTCGTTCTGCATCACTTCAGAATTTTGAAGTGTCAAAGTAGAAATAAAATGAAAATTAGAACTTGTTTTCCTAACAATTGAAACTTGTAAAACTTGATTGTTGTGAGAAAACAAAAACATTTCCAAAATCATGGATTTTGAAGGAGTAATGGAGCAATCATAACAAAATCTACAAATTGAAGAACCATCAAAACTTTGCTTATTAATATTAGTTGCAAAAAGTGTTTCTTGTTGTAGTTTCTACAAGTAGGGCTTCTTTTGTCTTCATGGACTTTAAATCAACTAGAATGTCCTTATTTTTAACATGAACAATGCCATTGCTTGTTATTAAAACAAAAGATTCATCACTATAAAGCTCAACTTGATCAATATGAACAACCACCTCTTCTACAGTATCTTTTACGATCTCAATTATCTCACTTGTGTTTATATCTTTCATATCATCAGTTAATTAATTAATCAACAGTAATAATATCTTCCCCAGTATTTTTTACCATCTCAATTACCTCACTTGGGTTAAGAATAAGTGAGTATTTCAAAGCTACATTTGATGGAAAGTTGGATTGGGAAAAGAGTGAGTCTATGGAGGGAGTACTGGATGGAAGGGGAAGCTCTTTGTTCAAAGTTCCCTGCAATTTTCAATATTGACTGAGACAAAGATATCACAGTTAAGGAGGCACATCTACGCCATGGTGTTTGCGTTGTTAATCTGAACTGAAATTTGAATACTTGGGAGATGGAGGAGTACGTGGGGCTGCTCAGTGCACCCACAAAGGTGGAAAATTTTTAGGAAAACAAGGATGAACCAATATTGAACCTCTGTCTCAAGAGACTTTTCCCAGTCAAGTCGTATTACCAACTCTTGATTAGCAGAGAGGAAGAGTCAAAGAGATTTCCTTGGAGATTTGTGTGGAAGGTGAAAGCAGCTTCTAGGGTAGTTTTTTTTTTTTCAGAAAGCAATTCGAGAACGTAGTTTTACTCTTGACAAGTTGAACAAAAGAGACAAAATTTTGGTGAATCAGTGTTACTTGTGCAAGAGTAGGCAGAGACATGCAATCATATCCTTCTTTGGGGTTCACTGAAACATCAGTCGTGGTCTTTGGCCTATAGCATTTTAGGTATAAATTGGGTTATTGTAAGCACAACAAGAGAGGAACTTTGGATGTGGAGAAGCATCGGAAGAGATAAGCCGACAATTAGACTTATCCTTTTGGTTACCTTTAGGGCCATTTAGAAAGAGGAAAAAGAGGGAATTTTGAGGGATAGAAGGTAGCTTTGGTAGTATTAAGGATTCTTGGTTTCAGGCTCCGAGTATTTTGATTAAAGGTCAACGTCTGTATTTAAGTGAGGATTTGAGAGACCTTATTGATATTTTGTTAAACTTGTAAATCGTTGTACATAGTTGAACCTCTTTGGTGCTTTATGAATAGTAACATGTTCTTAGTTCAAAAAATATCCATTCTGACCAAAAATTTCATAGACCATCCTTTACAGTTGAACCATATGCTCAACAGGAAGTAACTAAACAAACACTCTGCTTGTGTTTTAAATTCATCCAAAGTTCCTTTCCTAATGTTAAAATCCTAGCACATATTATCCAACCTATTCTTGAATGAACCTCCCAATTATGAAGAAATTTAAAAATTACCCCAAAAGATTGCAAAGTTTTGGCACAAAGTTGGATTGAAAACGGTTCCAAAAAAGGCTCAAAACGGCCCAAGAAAAGGCTTAGCTCCAAAAACATCTTGCCTCATGAGCCGGCTTAGCTCTAAAAGTGGCAAAAGAAGCTTTTCACTTCATGGCTTCCAGTGCATGATGTCCACACACAACTTTGCGGTGATCTTTGAGCGCCAGGTTTCTGGCTGTGGAGATGACCTTTGATGAAGGTCCTAGATCTGGTCTAGCTAGTTGTCTAGGTGGCTAGGAAGCTTGATTTCCAGTAAGGTAGCGGTTGGAAACACCATTTCTAGCAACTGTGTCAATTTTCAGCAAATTTAGAGGTTGAGACTTGACAGGCAGGCCAGTTGATGTCCTCTAGTGTTAATGGTCGTGGTAATGACACCCACCTCCCAGCAAAGGCTGGTGAATGCTTGTAGCTGACAGTCTCTGTCTGGATTTGTGTTACCTGCACCGGCTTTTGGTGTTAAGGGTTTGGAGGCAACTTTGTTTCTTTTTACTTTTTGATTTAGCGGTAGATTATGAAGTTTGGATAAAATACTTTAGAGTGTGACGAAGTTGAAGTTAGACTCTGATTCCAATTGATGTAGGACAAAGAAATGTTGGATCTCAATGATCAAATCAATAACACAACGCAAAGAAATAATCTGTGAATATTCTATTAAACAACTAAAATAGGTTATCCTATTTATAGGAGCCAGCTTATAGACAATATAGAATTCTTAAATCTATTTAGGAATTCTAATAAATAGGAAAATAGCTAATTAATGGGAATAACCTATAAATGAAAATAATTAAATAAAATCCTAATTAAATAGGAGATACTAAACTTAAGTCTATAATTAATACTCTGAAATAAGTTGAATACCTCAATAGTACATAAACATTACAGTTATAGAAATCTCTCTTATTATTGAATATGTGTACTTTAGGATCTCCTTGTTTTGCACTTAATCTTTAATTCATAAATGCATACCATAGCATCATCTCTTTCACATTACACATGCTTTGTAACGAAGACGAATTCTTCCATCCTAATATTTTATCTATGATGCAAATGTAGAGATGGAAGGACGGACATCCAACTAATCACAAATACAGAGAGAGAGAGAGAGAGAGAGAGAGAGAGAGAGAGAGAGAGAGAGAGATGCTTACTTTTGAATGATACTCCGATACAATCATCATGGGAATATTTTGGGTGACAGCTCCAACAAATTGAACGACATTGGGATGTCGAACCTTTTCTAGTAGAGTTAGCTCATGTTTGAAAGCATTTCTGTTTGAGAAAGAAGATGAGGTGAGATAATTGGTTAGATCCATGGAATTAAACAAGTGCACAGAGAAATCTTGCTATCACTTCAAACAGAACACCACAAATAAATAACTAGAGAGGATTTTAAAAACTTGATAATGTAAGTACGTAGCTCCAAATGCAAAATACCTAATGCAAACTTTATAGTGTACATACGGCTAGAAAACAGATAAGTCACTTTTGAGCAGAAAAAGTAAAAGTCATAAGGTACCTAATCTGAAGAGTTCCACAATTTTCATGAGTTGTCACCAAAAACCAAGCAAACACATAATTACCATTTATCCAGAAGGCCAGTCGTTTAACACTGTATGACTTCAAACAGTGCCAAACAAAAAAGGAACTCAAGATGGCATGTATACACGCTTTGAGTTACCTAGATAATAGAGAACATTATTAGGCGTCAAGTGTTGGGCTGCAAATTATGATAGCTCCAATAGCAGAAGAGAGATAAAGAGAGAACACTCTTGTAAAATTTTAAAAGATATCTGCAACTTCAGTGCATGCTCTAGAGCAGCTAGTGGAAAAGAACAAGATGATATCAATGTGTTACTGAAAAAATAAAAATAACGGAACAGCGCACAAGGCAGCCATGTACATGTGTCTCCAAAAATGAAATTAAAAACTATGCAATGGCACAGCTTTAAGAATATGTAGGTCATAAGCTTCCAAAAAAATAATTAGTTGCTTTACAAGTGAAGTTCTGCAATATCAAGCTCAGTTACATTTATGGCTTGGCTGCTTTGACCTTATATTAACATTCAAACTAATGGACACAAGTAGAGACCTATTCCTTCCTAGCTTCATTTCTACACTATGCAACTACTTTAAATACTGCACGTGATCTACATCTTCTATTTAGTATATAAGCGGACATGGAACCCCATTGTGTCAAATTGCTGCCGATGGAACTAAAACAATGAAAGGTGAAAAAGAAAAGAGAAAACATTACCAGCAGGAATTAATATTTTAGGACATTTCTAAATGGGTGGTACCCCCATTTTCTTGGTACCCTGTTAATAGATACTTAAAACTTTTTATTTAATATATATATATATATATTTTAGGACATTTTAGAGTTCATTTCGGTAATAAAATAATAAAGTTAGCTATCAAGTGGGTAATAAAGATATGAGGTGATTTCCCAGCCATTCAAACAATTTAACATGATAAAAACCTGTAGGAAAGAAAATTGAGCATCATGAAGTTGGTTGTTACAAATGAAACAGATGTCAGACAAATGCATGAGGCCCTAGGAAAGAACATTAAAAAAAAAAAACAAACAAACAAACAACAAAAGCTTGAAGCATTAATGGCTAATATGAGATACTAGAGCATATTTTTATTACTTAAATTCAAGGAGGAACTAAATAGAAGATGTTCCAAGAACATACATGCTTTCAGGATCTGAATAGCTGTCCTTGTCGAGTATCTTTACAGACACTTTTGTGCCATTCCATTTAGCAACTTGATAGGTTCCCTGTTAAGAGGTGACTGTAAGATATTTATTACAAATTCAAGAACGGAAAGTAAAAAAGAACATATATTAGGAAGCATAGCAGATGCAATTTCGGTTAAGAAGATGACCGACAGAAGGAAAATGATCATGTAACCTACTCAGTTAAGCTAATCGGTGAAAAATTGCAGCTATACCTGGAGATACATTGAACTGCTCGGGAAAGAATTTGTTAAGAAAGGATGGTGTATGACAAGTATGATAGTAACCAACCAGGAATATATAACGAATGAGTGAAAATTTAATTCTATTAACAAGAAAGAAAATATCAAGAGCATTTTACCCAAGGTAGGGTAAGTTGTGATTTGAGGTTATGCATGAATTACATCATGTTCACACACGCAATATGAAGAAGAGCAACAAACTACCAAAAGAAACTAGGAAAAAAGAGACGTGCCTTTGAGATACCATCAGCCTTTCGAACCTGAAGCTCTAGCGGATTAAGCTCGTATTCTGGCACTTCTCTAGGATTAGCAACCGTCATCGGTGTTTTCCTGATTTTCTGAAGTAACCAGAAATACGTTAACATCATTTTCTTAGAAACAAAAACTGCAAGCAACAAGTACAAGACATTTAGTCTTAAAATCGTACAGGAACTTTGGCTCCACGAGCCTTCAAAATGTTGTAAACCTCCACATTCCCATAGTACTTCGCGTCAGCGGCTGCCTGTCCAAACAAAACGCGCTTCAATGAAAAGCTCAAACAAAAATTTCCGCCTCTTTGTTAGTCAATGTACTTGAAATCAAATTGATGATTATTTTCAGGCACAATCCATTGATTGAAGCCTGTCTATCGAGACGTTGAATCTACCAAACTTAGAAACCTCCAAGAATAGCAAGAACCATAAAATGGAAAAGAATAAATTAGGAAAAACAATTAGTAGTCGGTAGTAAGATGAAATGACAGATGCAGTGGAAGTAGAAGGAAAGAGAGGAAAAAAGAACGGACCGTACTGCCCCATCGATCACGAGCATCAATGTTAGCCCGCCTACTGAGGAGCAACTTGACAACATCGACGTTGCCCTCGCAGGCAGCGATGTGCAAAGCAGTGCGGCCATCGAGGTCGATGCTGTTGACGTCGATCCCATGGTTGAGCAAGTCCTCAACGCCGCCAGCGTCGCCTCTGCAAGCCATGAAGAGCAATTGCATGGTGAAGTCTAGATTCTCGGGAACAGCGAGCGCGTCGCCGTCGCCGGGGCTCCTCCTTATAGGATCAAGCGAAGACTGCCTCCCGAAGCTGAACCGCATGTTGTTCCGCCGAGGATCAAGCGAGGACTGCCTGGTAAACTGCCGGCTCAGAGTCCTCCGCAACGACCCCGTCGAAAACTGACGCGAAATCCCTCGCTTCAACTGTGCCGCGATATTCTCCATTTTACACGTTACAATTCAATATCCCAAACAAAAAAAAAAATCCAGCGTATTATATCCGTCTGGTTACTGCAATTTTTCAACAGCTAGCTAATTAATCAACCGATAACCAACATTCCTCCATTTCTGGTACACTCAATCAAAATGAGAAAATCAAAATCACTTCCTCATTTCCATTTCGACGACCTCTGTTTCCTTCCCGGACAAGAATTGCTGCCGCTCGACGAATCGATAGCTTAATGGAAGTGCTCTCGATGTGCCGATGAGGAGAATGGATGGGATGGAAAGAAGCCAGCGGGTGGAGATATGGAAGGGAAATACAGAGGCGAGATCCGAGCGAAGCGCATGATCCAGAGAGTAAATGTTTAATTTATTTGGATAATTATTTTCAGTTATTAATATATATATATATATATACATGCGTGTGAAAATGAAGAAAAAGGGAGGGAAAGGAATGGGGAGAAGTTCGGGTAGAGTAAATTTTATCGGGAGAGAGAAATTTGATTAATCAGAGAATTTAATCTTTTTTTGGGAGATTCCAGAGACTTCAGCGAAGAATTCGTTTAAACGGTGAGTGTGAGCGTGTAAGACGCGGCAAATTTTTTGTTTGGTACGCTTCATTTTTTTGTCTTATTCGTTACCGTTACCAATCAACGGCTCTCCGATAATTGTCTTTGCATCTTTTTAAAAAAAATCGTATTATATTTTCAATTAAGAAATTATAATAATCCACTGAATATTCTGTTTATTTTTTTTTTAATTTATAAAAATATCTTGTTATATAATTATTTTTAATAAGATAATTCGAAAAAAATAAAATAAAAGTCATTATCGTGTTCTACCCAGGCCATTAACGTAAGGGGTCGTTTCCAAGTCGTGACTTAAAAGATTTTGATACGCGTCGTATTATAAAACGTCGGCAAGTTGGTTAAAAAATACTGTACTGGGCCCTAATGACGTGGCACCTGACCCATCCATTATTGACCCGGCCAGTTTATAATAATAGAATAATGTAAGATAAATTCACTCACTCTTTTTTAACTTAATATTTATTATATTAATCTAATTATAGTAAGGTATGATTTTGATTAATTTAAATTATCTAGTAAGATGAAACTGAATTAATAAATTCTAATGTTATTAACTTTATTGCATATCGATTAAAGTTTACTTATAAAATATTATAACGTAAAATATATTTTGTAATTAAAAAAAAAAAATTATTTGGGCTATGTGAAAATTCAGTCGGCAATTGTTAATGTTATTTATGGAAATGACCATACTTACAATCTAAGAATCTATAATGGCTAAATATATTTTATTAATAAAAAAAGCTATACTTGTGTATAAAATATTTTTGACATTGATGTTTCGCATTAAAATAAGGTTAAAGAATTTGTTCTTATTTATAAAAAGAAGTCACTCTTTCTCTCTCCATAATTGAATAGCTTTTTCCACGACAAGTAATATCTTCGTTTGGCATTTTACTCTGTCGCAGCTAATTTCATTATAAATTATGATAATTTAGTGGCTAACATTTATAATTGATTGACTTAGTAACTAACTCTATAGTTATGTATCTTGCATAATCTTTATTTTCAAATATATCATTATGCAAGTATTTTATATGTTTTAAAACATAGATACGTGTGTATATATACATATAATGTTGAATTCATACTACAGTTTTATCAACAATTCAATAAAATATATACATACAAAAAAAAAAAACATTGAGCACAGTATCCTATTTGACACCCTCTATACTTTTTTTAATAAACAAATTTAATAACTATATGTATTTTCAAAATTTTGAAAATAAAAATAAAACTTTCCTTTCACAATAATAATAATCTTGAAAGATTAATCGTTTATTAAGAGAAAAACGATATTCATATCATAGTATATATATGTTTAGAAAATAACATCTAAGCTTTTAAGAAAAAAAACAAAAAGATAATTAATCACTCTAAATATAATTTTAATTGATAAAATTAGTACGAGTTAATTATTATTATAAAAAAAATAAAGAACGTTAAATAGGAGTTGTTACATTTTATTTTTACGATAAACAAATTAAAAATTAATAATGCATATTTTAAAAATAAATATTTTTTATGAGAGTATTTTTTTAATTTTAATTGAGATTTTTGTTTAATTTGAAAAATATTAAATACAATCTCTCTTTTCACATCTACAATAAATGAATTTAGGCCATCAAACATATATATATATATATATATAACATTATTTTTGTAATTAGTTGGGTTGCTTTTTATAAAATCTAAAAATATGGATATTTAGACTGGTGTGATGAAATTTCAAGGGGGTGTATACACCTGTTATCCACTGGCATGCATGTGTTTGTTCAGGAACAGGTAAGCCCTGACTTGTTCCTTATTATTGTTATTGAAAAGGATGTCATCTCATTAAAAATTTATTTATATATATAAAAAAAAAAAAAGTTTCATTGACCAAATCAAATCCCTTGATTTATGATAAAAGAAAAATGTTTTTTTTTTTTTTAATTTACTAATTTATGTTCTTTCATTGATTTTCCATATTGCATCTTGCAGGTTTTGGTTTCCTTTGAAAATTAATAAGAAGCACATGGGCAAAAGGGGATGGTTGGTGGACATTTGATGAGGGCATTGTTTGGACCAAGAAAGTAAAATTGCCAAATGCATTATTTTCAATAAATTGTGCTACAAAAATTATATAAAAAAAAAGAGTTTTATTTTGTCTGGTCGTAACATA